AGATTCAAAAGACTACCTTACGGATTAAAAGGAGCACCAAATTCATTCCAAAGAATGATGACACTAGCATTTGCAGGCCTCAAACCATCTAAAGCATTTCTCTACATGGACGATTTCGTTGTATTAGGCTGTTCTGAAAACCATATGCTAAAAAATTTAAGAGACGTATTCTCCACATGTAGAAAATACAACCTAAAATTACATCCCGATAAATGCCTATTTTTTAGCCAAGAGGTAACTTATTTAGGACATAAATGCACAAACAAGGGAATACTACCCGATCCGAGCAAATTTGAAACAGTTCAAAATTACCCAACACCAAAAACAGCGGACGAAGTTAAGAGATTCGTAGCTTTCTGCAACTATTACAGAAGATTTGTACCGAATTTCGCAGAACACTCACGAAAATTAACTAGGCTTTGCAAAAAAGAATGTTTCCTTCGAATGGACAGAAGAATGTCAAAAAGCTTTTGTCTACTTAAAGGAAGCATTAATTAGTCCAAATCTTCTGCAATACCCAGATTTCGACAAAGAATTCTGCATAACAACAGACGCTAGTGGGTACGCTTGTGGGGCAGTCCTTAGCCAAGAACACGATGGCAAACAGTTACCAATTGCCTACGCTTCCAGGTCATTCACAAAAGGTGAAATCAACAAAACCACAATAGAAAAGGAATTGGCCGCAATCCATTGGGCCATAACCTTCTTCAGACCATATGTCTATGGCAGAAAATTTCTAGTTAAAACCGACCACCGTCCCTTAACATACCTATTCTCAATGAAGAGTCTCCTTCATCAAAACTGACACGAGTAAGACTCGATTTAGAAGAGTACGATTTTGAAGTGGAGTATATCGCCGGAAAGGAAAACCACATTGCGGATGCATTATCCCGCATAACAATCACAAACTTAAAAGATATGTCAGTGGAAGAAAGTAAAATATTGAAAATAACAACAAGATCAGCAGCAAAAAGCATCAGCACAAGTAATACTGAAAATAAAGAAAGTCACAAAGAGAACCCCAGAATATACGAAGCGCTAAATAAATTTGAAGTAAAAAGACATGTCGAGCTCGTTTTCACTCCTCCGAAATTATATTTCAAAAAAGGAAAGAAAATTTGTAGCAATTTTGATACAAGCAACCTAATTGTTGAGGATAAGATTGACTTAGGACAATTCTTTACCAGGCTTGAAAAAGAAGCCGGCAATTTAGGACTTGTACAAATACAGTTGTCCTTAGGGGACAAATTGTTTAAAAGAAATTATACTGCAGTAGGCAAATTTATACAAATGGGTAACAAAGTTCTCAAAAATCTAACAATCGCACTAACCCCAGAGGTTATATACGTGACAAATCCCGGGAAAATTAAAGAAATTCTGCATAAATATCATGACGATCCTATCAGTGGTGGCCACCCAGGAATAAATCGCATGACAGACAAAATCAAGCAGAAGTATGGCTGGCTGAATATGAAAAATTACGTAAGAAAATACGTAAAAAACTGCATCCACTGTAAGAAAAATAAGACTAACAAGCATATAAAAGAACCAATGACAATAACGGAGACACCTCCGAAGGCATTTGATATTGTACAAATCGATACAGTCGGACCATTACCGAAGTCGATAAATGGAAACGAGTATGCAGTTACCATTATATGCGATCTAACCAAATACTTGGTAGCTATCCCAGTCCCAAGCAAACACGCAACGACAGTCGCTAAAGCCGTGTTTGAGCATTTCATCTTGATTTATGGACAAATGAAAACAATCACGACAGACATGGTCACAGAATACAAAAACAAATTATTCAAAGAACTGTGTAAATTGTTAAAAATTGTACATAAAACTTCAACACCGTACCATCATCAAACTTTGGGTACTGTAGAACGCAGTCACCGGACATTCAATGAATACATACGTTCATACATATCCAGTGACGAAGACGATTGGGATGAATACCTCAGGTATTTCGCGTATTGTTACAATACGACGCCATCTACCACACACAAGTATTGCCCATTTGAACTAATATTTGCAAAAAACCCACCGAACTACGATTTCTTAAAAGAAAATAAAATCAGCCCTTTGTACAATCACGAAGCTTACGACAAAGAGGTAAAATATAGACTTCAAATAGCCCAGCAAAGAGCTAGGAAATTAGTCCAAGAGGCTAAAGAAAAGCAAAAAAAGAATTATGATAAAAGTAGCTATAGTAAGGAAATAAACATAGGAGATTTAGTATTAGTTAGAGAAGTGGCCTCCCATAAGTTAGAGAATAGATATAACGGACACTACAAAGTTAAAAATATTGATAAGAATAACAATTTTACTTTAATACCACATAGCATAGGAAATAGCAATAAAAACAATAAAGAAATCATAATTAATAAGAATAGACTTAAAGCAGTATAACACCACTAGTAATAACAAAAA